CCCCGCTCTGGTTTTTTTTTTTTTTTTTTTAATAGATTTGAAGGCACGGGGGTGTAGAAGGCCCCTGCACCACCCCCCTCCCACCCCGATCCTGACCGCACCACCGTCCATGTGGGCGGAAAACCCGTGAACGGCCGCCGTGAACAGCCGTTCACAGATTTTGGCCCCGGTGACCGGCCGGTCACGTTTAGGTGACCGGTGCCTGTCACGTTCACGGGACCGGCACTGATTTTGGGTATCTGGCGCAAGTCGCCCTTGTCCTTCTTGGACCGGCATATCGGATCTTTTCTTTGTTTCTTCTTAGAAACTGATGACATTGTGCGATTGTCCCCCCGCAATTTCCCTTCTCTTTCTGTTTGAATCGGCAATCCGATTGATTGGTCACCTGTGATCGAATTTTGTGTGATCCCCGGGCCAATGGCCCAAAAGTTGATCGACTTCGTTTTGCTTATGAGTATGCGTGTTTGAAGCTGGATGCATAAATATTTGATGTTCTCCTGTCTAAGTATGACTAGATGGGCATGCTAGACGATTAGATGTCTGTCTCACGATAGGACTGCCCACCTTTGGGTTAACAACTCCGTGCGTATCGGTTGAGAGCTGCTGGCCTTTTCCCACTCGACCGACGAACAGGTCTTGTGCACGCACGTGTAAGCCCGGTCGAGGAAGGCCATCACTTACACGCATGTCTGCAAACCTGTACTCGGCCTCCTTCCCGAATGTCTGAATTTCTGCCCATCCTGCAGTATGAATATCGAAATCCCCTTCCGTATCACTGACCGTGAGTATCTGAGGGATCGAGAATTCCAGGAATATTGGGAACACTCTTGTTTGTCTGCACTATCGAGGGCGGAATCTCCGGAATTTCCCTACTTAACAGTGAACAAACGCATTTGTGAGTGAGATATTGATCAGGCCTTGGGACGTATCCCCCATCTCCGAGGCTGCCCTAGCTCGTACACGTGTCACGTCGTCACAGAACCCGGAATCATTATTCTGGGGACCGAATTCCCTCCCTATCACCGCATCCTGCCCTTTCGCTCCCTGACCGTCGTCCCCTGGCGCGCAGTCGCTCCCTACTGGCCCCAACCCCCGTGCTCGGAGTGCCTACAAGACCACAAGTACCAAGCCTTCGGCTTCATCCGACGAATTCGCTCGGAGGAAGAACGTCGGGCACACAGCCTTCGGCTGAGACCGACCATGTCGGATTCCGAGACCTGCAACGTTAGGCGCCGACAGGTGATCAGCCAGCGAGATAGTCATAGCGTCCCGGCGGTACACCAGATACGAGTCCAACTTAGACAACGGAACCAACGAAGGCAGTAGCTCCGTCGCGCAAAACCGGACTTTGATCCGCACCTGCCCTCTTGCATTTGTATCCTTAAAACTTGTCACAGGAGATCTCAGTTCCGACCTGCGACTCCACACCCACAATGCCCCCTTTTTCGCACTTCCAGGCCCACTCTCACTCCGATCAGGAAGTCGCGTCGGGCGTGAGGTTGGGTGTCACAGGCCTTCAGTAATTTGCATTCTTGATATCCGTCATTTCGCTAATTGCTCATTTTCCTTGCACAATTAGGAAATGCGTGAACAATATAATGCTTACCTCAAGGTGTAGCTAAAGCAGATAGATACACTAGGTTAGTGGTTCATTGAGTGTCTAGAATGTCATGGGGTTCTCATGTTTAAACCACCAGTACTTCCTAAGTAGTGCCCACTAACAAGCCGTGACTTTAGACATATGGGCCACTACCGAAACACCCAAATTCAGTGACATCCCAGTGATCCCACTAGAAATACAGGTATTCTTTTCCGCGACGAATAGCTGGGCCATGTACTGGTGGTTTAAGCAAACCCGCTCAATTGGGCCCTTGGGGTGACTACTCTAACTAGTTCCCCTCAGCGGACTGCGGGTGCTTCAATAGGTCCACCATGCTCATCAGACCACACCTGCTGATGGTTCAACTCTTGGTATAATTGTGACAAGCATCGGTCTGCGCCGGACCGCCGCCCGTAGTTTGATGGAGATCGACACTGTGAGAGCAAGGCAACATGGTTGTTAATTATATGGTTGGAACTTGGAAGGGACTCATTAGTGTTGGAGCCAGGCCTGGAGGAGATTCTAATGTCTGGTTGACAACATGGTTGTTAAGGATGTTTGGAAGGAAAACATTAGACTAAGTGCTGGAAGAGATTCAAGTTAGTCCTGGAAGGCTGGAAGAGATTTTCATATCCTCTTCTATGTAGAGCATGACAGAGTAGATACTTGTTTGTGCACGGCATTTTGCTCACTCATTTCTTCGTATTCATGCAGTTTCTTCAACTTTAGTGCAAAGTGAAGACAGTGTGTGAATCATGGTGATGCAATAAATTGCAGAAACTGTTTCCCATTGGGGCTATACACTAAGTGTTTGGCTTTGTAGTTTGTTTTCTTGTTTTGAGCCTTGCAGGACTTGATCCCATGACCTGTAATTTGTATGTTTTGTTTGTTAGTTTTGAGCCTTATGGGACTTGATCCCTTAGTCTGTCACTAGCAGTCTCTTTTTGGTAGACTTTGGCCATTAGGCCTTTTCCTTTTGCCTTGTCATAGGTCTAGGTCCCCTTTTCCCGCTGTTTCCGTCTAGATGGAGACCAGTATTGAGTTGTTGCCTTTGGAGTCTGTCCTACTTCTAGGCAGAGGGTAGAAGTAGCGGGCAGGAGATTTGGTTTGGGTTTTTTCACGTTTGGTTGGCTGGGGAAACTCTGCCCGCCCGTTGCTGGAGGGCTGCTGCTCTATTTTGGGCGAGGTCATCTTCTTCCTCAAGCCCAGCCATAGCTGGTGTTGGGAAACGAAGTTGAAGATCGCACTGCTGCTATTTCACAGCTTTGCATGAGAGCTTCCACAGGACTGTGTTGTTGGGCTTGGGTGCTGGCATGCTGCCATCTTCCACTTGGCCGCCATATCTGCTGTTCCACCTCTCGAGGAACTTCTCTTGTTTGAAGTGCTGGATCGGTTGACTCCTTCATAAGGACTTCCAGCGCTGCACTTCAGAGCGGGTGCTGAGTTGGCGCTGTACTCATTGGGGTTCCTGGTTCAGATTCGCACGTTGTGACAGCTGCTGTGGCAGCCATAGGCTCATAGCCAGGGGTATGAGGTGGCACCGCGGTGAGGAGGAGGAAGAAGACTCATGCATACTTAGTTGAAGTTGTTGAACACTTGTTTCTGGTTGTTCGGGGTTGTTGTAAACTTCCGAGGCTAAAGTGACTGCAGGCCTAGGCCAGCAGAAATCGCGGTGCCCCAAGACAGTCCAACCTCAAACTTTCACTGGGAATAACCCCAAAGTGGATGTAGCAGATTGGACTGCCTCGATGAGATGGTACCTCAAGGAACTCGCTTGCCCAGAGGTTACCAAGGTGCAGTCCACTGTGGCCCGTTTGGGAGGGCCTGCACTTCAGTGGGGCTGAGTGGGCTACTTCTGAGGCCAATAAGGCCCAGAAACAGCTGGTGCTGAGCTGGCGCTGTAATCATTGGGGTTTCTGGTTCAGATTGGCACGTTGTGACAGCTGTGGGGTTACTGCTGCTGCGGCAGCCATAGCCAGGGGTATGAGGTGGCACCGTGGCGAGGAGGAAGACGAAGACTCCTGCATAGGTGACACCGCTGCGAGGAGGAAGAAGAAGACTCCTGCATACTTCGTTGAACACTTGTTTCTCGTTGTTCGGGGTTGTTGTAAACGTGATTGTGATTCCTGGAACAAGTACTATGGATTGATTGGAGGAGGAAGACGGATTGCAGAATTGAAATTCGTTATTCAATTCAGAATCTCTGGCAGTGTGTGTTTTGAGCTTCCTCTGTGAATATTCTCTCTCCAGTTTTGTGTGGATTTGCCTCCTCCGAGTCTACTCTGTAATTGCATGTGTGTATGGGAACGTGTGAATTCATTGTGGATGGAAGTTCAATCGGGTACATAACCGTGAGATGATTTTGCTTTCGCGAAAAAGGGATTGTTCGCATAGTCAAGTCATTCTCATTGCCCCAAAACTTCTTCCCATTCTCAGATTGAAGCCCCTGTTTGTGGAAAGTTGTGGATGCTTACAAAATTCGGTACAAACGGTACAACAACCACTGTCAACCAGCCAAGACAACTTGACAAGCATGCAAATGGGATGTAAGGCTTCTTCCCACCAGTAGATTGGAGCCTGGCAAATGTCCAGCATCCCATTACATCACGTTGTTCAGCACGGTACAGCACCCAATTCTAGGTTGAGTACAGTGGATTAAGACAGCACGTGGGCATGCAGTGCAATGCACCTCTCTCTCTCTCTCTCTCTCTCTCTCTCTCTCTCTCTCTCTCTCTCTCTCTCTCTCTCTCTCTCTCTNTCTCTCTCTCTCTCTCTCTCTCTCTCTCTCTCTCTCTCTCTCTCTCTCTCACACACACACACACACACACACACACACACACACACACACATTGTTCAATGCTTCACCACACGTGCAGGATGGGCAAACCTAGAAGGATGAGGGTGAGCAACCGTGAGCCCGGTGAGGTAGATGAGAGGAGCGGCCTGGATGCACACCCTGAGTACGGGAGCAGTTTTAATATTGGGGAATTAACACTGCCAGACAAGTTTTCAAACAATTGACCCACAATGGACTGGTTCCTGCCAACTTCCTGATCCAATGATCTACACCTCGTCTCTGGTTAAGGGGCGACAAGTTCAGAGAAAATTTAGACTCGATATAGAGAAAATTTAGACTGGAACTTACCAACTTGCGCCACACATTTCTGCAGTCCAAGACACTTTTTTCCCCAATTACGTTAGCCAAACTTCTTTTCTTGCTGAAGGGTCCTGGGCCTCCTGGCATTTCTTACACTCTAATTATCACATGGCACTTGATTGGGTTTCCAAGCAGACAGAGTTATGGACAGATTGGGGATCACTGAGCAGACACATGGAAGAGGCAGTCAAAAGACAGTTGTAATGCTGAGTTGTTTCATTGAGTCCGGAGATAGAAGCAGACTGGTCGGTATAATAACATCAATGATTATACTGGGTGAAAAAAGTCTCCCAGGGCCTAGCTCAGCTGCTACACTCATGCACTGATACACTGCAGACCTGAGTTCGAAACCCAGCCGAACTAGATCAATGAAATCAAATAATGGGACCCGGCTACTCCTCCAGGATCACTAGGATAGACCATCTGGATAACCACATGACCGCCTACCCAAGGCAATTGTAAGCCTCTACAACAACCTGGGCTTCTGTAAATCAAGAAAAAGAAAAGGGATACCGGATGAGGCTGTGACCTGGGTGAAAACCATGAGATAAAAGGGGTTCAAGGGGGTTGAAAGTATGAAACATGGTGGCAAAGGGACGATACCAAATCGGGTAACAGCCTAACAGGAACACTATTTCAGGTATATCTGCTCAGAATCATCTCTAGACAAAGGAAGGGCTGAGGTAAATCTGCTCAGAAATTCAGAATCGTCTCTAGACAAAGGCTGGGCTGCTCCGAAACGTGTTTCTTTGCCGCAATACCTGTGCCGCTGTGCGTACCGGTATTTTTGTTATGAATCATTTTCAAACTGGTATATCTGCAATTTGCCCTTCACAGAACGCACCTGATACATCTTCAGGCACGGGGGACTGTGGAACACACGATGAGGAGAGTAACTGTGCACCTGAAAACTCAGCAATAGTAATTCTTAGAGCTATGCGCCGTAACTCACCTAGCAACCCAGAGCATGCAATGAATAGCAAAGAACCAACCTGCCGAATACTCCTTTCCTGAAATTTTTTCCAACAGCTCAAGATTATCAACAGTCGTCCCTCCTCAGCTTCATCCTCCAGGACCTCCATTACCTCCTCGTCCTCCTCCTCCTCCTCTACCTCTCTCCCTGCACTGGCAAATCTTCTGACCCAATAGGTATTTTATCCAGCTGGCCGTATCTACCATTTATGGCATTTATCCTCCCAAAGTTCCTCGATGTAGTAAGATGTGCAGGCACTGTACGTGCAGAGTGGGAGTGCCTGCGGCAGTACTCGGGTCGTAGTGACCCATCTACCCGCAACCTCCCTCCTTCAAGTTGGGAGTCACTAACCCCCGGGAACGGGAAGCCCTTGGGGAGTTTATACCCAACCTGAAGACTCTTGGAGTCACTGACCCCATAGCCCATAGGTTCTCTTTGCAGCTGGCCCGGCCTGGTCGTATGTACCAATTGTCCTCACAAAGATTCACAAGGCCCATGTACCAATTGTCCACCCAATGATCCTCCCAAAGATACCCCAGACCCGGTCAGGTCCATGATCATATCTCAAGGTCAAACTTTTCTTGATTAAAGAAAAAAAAAACAAAGGTAAAGAAGAATCGATTGGAAAAAGTGACGTTCAGTCATCAATATTTGCTTTTGGCTTGAGGCAGAAGAAGAGGGGGGGAGAGCTTCTTCGGCGCGTGCTCTTCACGCAAATCTCTTCGTTCTCCGTTCGCAGCTTGCTGATGCTGTTTTCCATCTCCGCTATCTGATCTTCGAGATGACGAACGTTATTCTCCATCTCTCTCGCCTCGTCTTCCATAGCCCTCTTCATTCCGGCCAGTGTGTCGTCCGAAACCAGGCGTTTTAACCGGAGCCCCTCCAGGTCCGCCTCCATCCCTTTCTTCTCCTCCATGGTGCGATTAAACTCGCTCTCCACGTTGCCAAACTCTCTCAGCTGCTTATCGAGCACCTCTGTGAGGCGAGCCTTGATGACCGTCAGGACCCGTACCATGAAGGGAAGAGGCAGACAGTCCCACATTGTGGAAGCACGCTCCGCTACCTCCTGAGATAGTAGGAAGGGATCTACCAGTTCACACAACTGTGAGACCGCCTCCCTTCTCTCAATTGCTGAAAGATAGGTTTCTGCCATAGATATCCAAGTCATGACAGCCTGGAAGAGATCGTCGTGACTGGCCCTGCTCTCCAAAGGAACGGACTGAGCCAGGGCTCGGAACTGGTCAGCACTTAGCGGACGGGTGCAACCGCCTTCTGTCCGTGCACCTGTACCCATTACGCTGTCGTCTTCCCAGCTACCGCGGCTCACAGCGCGAAGAAGGTACTCGTCGATCAAAGCCACCACCTTTTTCACCGAAACGTCGTCGTCGTCAACCCCACGACCCTTGACGRACGGGACAACGTCATCATCACCCTCGTGACTCTCAAGCCCAAGGTCGCCGTCGGAGGAAGTGTTGAAAGCGTGGATCAAAGCCAGCAACTCCTCCACGTCCGCGCCTACGAGATTGAGATCCTCGATATCCATCTCGTCCAGCCGTGATCCGGCCATCCGTTGCAATCTCTGTCGAGCATCCCTGCTTGCTTCGACCACAACAGAGCACCTCAGCAGCTTGACCAGGGTGGAAACACGAACCGCATGCTTGTCTTCAGGCAGCAGATCGACCAAGGCCTCCACAATCTCGCGGCAGCGCAGGACCTCCTGCCGCGACAGAGGAACGGCTTCGATGTCTCCGGAGGCAACACCCTCTTCGCAGGAAGAACCAGACTCCGTCACAGCGGTTAACCATTCGCAGTCCAGAGGTTCAGACAACGCTGCACGTGGGTTAATGGTCGGATCTTTGCTGCTGGGAATCGAACCATTACCACTGACGCAGGTGCGATCGACATCGACTGCGACTGGTAGGCGGGGGGGTGATGATGATGACACGATCGCATTGGCTAGCCATAGCCGGAAGTATGCCTCGATCGAGGCGCCGATGGCTGAAGCCGGAAGGAGGGCATTGTACATGGCTTCCACGAGACTGACGTACAAGGGGAGCGGGAGGCTCAGCACCGACTCGTGGGTCGGGATGATCGTCAGCAAGCTCGCGTCCTTCTTGGTGCCGTCCTTGGCGACGGAAGTGATCAGGCAAGCCTTGGCTATGGCGGTGACGCAGCGGTGGATGATCTCACTCCCCTCCCCGACGTTGACGAGCGGTAGGCAGTGGTGGAGAACGGACACTGCGTCCCTCCAGTAGCTGAGAAATCGTTGCAGAATCGTGTCAGTCAGCGCCATCAGACTGCCCTCCTTCGCAAGTCCCGCTCGCGATTCCGTCTTCATCTCCAAGTACTCCGCTGAGGCACACGCGCAAACAAACACCGAACACCGGTAAGAACGACGACATGGTGATGACGACGTACATCAGCTACAAACTATGCCACGGGAAGCCAAGAGAAGATGATGGATGTGAAGATACCCAGGCGAAATTACTAGATACTAAAAATAGACTAGTACCGTTGTCACCGGAATTGAACGCCCGGTCATTATATCGATGCACGTGGACCCAAAGTTGTCCCAAATACAGATATAATGACGGGACGTTCTACTCGGGTGCTATCTAACAGGATTCGAAGTAAAGATCATGCATATCTCCTTTCAAGAGTTATCTACCTGCTACACAGATTTGCATCACACTTCTCCCTCTTCTTTGAAGCATAATCTCGTTCGTTGCCACGGTTCACCATGAAGGTGTGGATATCTGCTCATCTGTCCGTTCTGTCCGTTTCGCTTACTCACTGACCCGCGAGGTTCATCAACAATCAACTATAAGATACTTCTATATAGGCTTCAGCCTCCTCCTGATGAGTCGGTGAAACTCCATCGAAATCACAGCCCCTCGTTTGTTGTTCTCTTCTCCCTCTCTGCCTACGGTTTACCGGGCAGCTCTGTTTGATTATATATATATTTTATTTATTTACTCACTATTTATTTATTTATCCATTTATTAATTTATTAATTTATTAATTTATTAATTTATTAATTTATTAATTTATTAATTTATTAATTTATTTACCAGGTCGTTCTACATTCATATCCTTTGTCACTGAAATTCACCCACGACGATGGTACTTACTAATTATTTATTAATTAATTAATTAAGTAATTTATTTATTTACCAGGTCTTTCTACATTCATATCCTTTGTCACTGAAATTCACCCACGACGATGGTACCTGGCCTCTAAACCTGGGGGGGGGGAAATAAAACAATCACCCACGACGATAGGAGCTACAACTTCTCCCCTTGGGGGGACCCACGCGGATTCCACGGGGCGTTGCAATTAACTGGACTAGATATAGCTCTCAAATAGTCTGACCTTCAGTCAAACATGTGTCGCTATCCGATAGTATAGACCTACCTGGCCATAACTTCCCATAAGATATCGTGATGCTAACTTGCTAAGGTGAAGAGAATCAAGAGATAACCACTGTTTTGCGCCTGATTGCCGTCGTCATTGAACTTCCCATTCAGGTACCTTAGCGTACCTACCAATTCGGAATCGATCCACCGATCACACCAGCATAAGAGATAAGGATTACGTTATGGAGTAAAGGAGGAGGAGTGATGTGCACAGGGCCGGCGACGACGAGTGATTTCTGCGGTAGTGCGAGTGCTGATGAACGCTGAGCAAGTATCTGAGAGTTGGCCTTTGTGGGGAGCAGGGCGCTTACCTGCACAACGGAGAGYGGCCACGTTGTCGACCGTGATCTCGATGTCGAAGCCATAGCAGTAGTTGACGACGAGCAGGAACGTGGACGCCCCTCCCGGAAGCTCGTCCAGCTTGGCCAACGTYTTTCGTGACGACACGTCGTGGACGGCTATGGCGGCGAAGAACTCCGTCTTCGAGTACAGCGGGAACTTGTGCACGTTGAACACCACGTCGCCCACCCGAACCACGAAGTCGCTCTTCATACCGGCCGCTCGATTCCACGACGCTTCCATGCCGCTTGGAATCACAGACTCAACCGACGAAGCTGGTGGCGGCGAGCCTGATGCCGGCAGCGATGGCGTCAAGGCGCCAGTTGCGTCCCCTTCGGCTTTGCCGTTGACGGTCTCGGCGGGGAAGGCGAAGCTCGGAAGAAATGGCGATGGAGGAGCCACGACCTCCGTCGCTGGAGAGGAAGGAAAGAGGTCATTGCTCTCCCGTGAAGCTCGAGGTCGCACCAACCGTCCCATCGCCGCTGCAGATGCTACCACTCCGCCAGCCATCGCTGTGACGATCCCCGTGCTTGGTCGACGTCCCCTTGTCACGTACGGCCTGGGCTGGCCTGGCCAGCTACTCGTTGTTGGACTACTCTTCGGCCGGAGAGCTGATACAATACGGAATTGAAATCGCGGAGCAGGATTCGAGCTGACGACGCGTTGAAATCACGAACAGAGAGACGCGGTCACCAAGCGTGGTCAGGTCATTCCTGGGACGTCTCTCCTTCTTGGGCAGCTCAGGTTCTGCGGTGCATGCTCGCGACGGACGTCGATGCACAGGCCTCGTCGCTCGCCTACTACCGGTCGTAGCCGCCGTCCTCTCCCCGATACCAAGTCTGTTGCTCTGAGAAAAGGGAGGCGGTCTCTCTGTCAATCAAGCTCGCCGTCAAGTACAGCAACTACGTAACCAGCTCGAATGGCTTACTTATCTATCGCCTTTAACTAAAGAACAACACTTCAATCAATCACACACGTTTTCAACCACGTTTTCAAAAGGCGTCATCAGCTACTGCCGTCAGCGAGTAGCAGCCAATCATTCAGGCACAGGCACAGGCAGGTGTATGCCCGCTTCTCGGTTAGCGACGAAGGAATGATAGTGAATACATGTAGGAATGATAGTGCTTCAATGAAATGGCAAGACAGCCGTTATATATCATGCTGCATAATACGCCATGTAGTTGTAGCCACAATGGAGATTCAGGGCTTCTCGGTCTCGCCGCACGGCACACGAAACGAAAACGAAACGAGTTCATCTGCCCACGAAAGGTGGCAAAATACACTGGTTACTATTTATAGCAAACCGATGAACCTGGCCAGTTTCTGCAGGAAGATGCACTCGTTTCGTTTTTCGTTTCGTGTCCCGTGCGGCGACGCCATCTGTCCACTGACCACTTCATTATCCCGCTACCGCATAATCATGACCAATGACGCGGGAGATGTACGGCCGAGAGCTACCAGCATTCCCTCGCCTACCTAACGTCTTTCCCGAACACAACGCATCCTCACCACGACTGCATCCGACCGGAAAGATGGCTTGTGTACATACAGAAACAAGGTGCATTATGTTCGGGGGAAGACGCTCCTCTGCTCCTTGAGTTAGCCAACCAGCTAACAAGACAGCTGTCAACGTCCAACTTGACAAGACAGCGGCAGACTAAGCCAAACGGCACTTCATTTGATATTCGATTCGTTTGTTCATTTGTCTATCATAATGTACGCGAGCGTCTCGTGAGATCCATGCGTTCAATGCGGTGGTGTGGGGCCATCTGACCGCAATGGCCCGTTGCACCAGTCGCCATCCGCCCATATTCTGAATGCATGTGCACATGGACGCTGTCCAGATGCTTTCAAAATCGTGGCGGATGACAAGCGATACAACTAGGACCTATACCGTCCCAACCTTCGCGGGAACGGTGTCTCCGTTGAAAGGACAGATCTCTCGCGGGAACGGTGTCTCCGTTGAAAGGACAGATCCCTCATCGAATCGCGTCCCTTCGTATATATAGCATCCTCTCAGTAGTCTATGTATGGTACGGGGGAACACCAACCAACGTGGATCTCTCCCGAGTTCCCCAACCAACCTGTGGATCTCTTCCCAGCCCACGGGGTAGGTTGGCACCACAGCTGTGGTGAGAGTGCAAGGCCGTACCAGGCCCTCATCATGGTGACGAGGGGTGGGCAGGCATTGCCTATGGGAGAAATCCGAGTCGGCGGTGCTAGGCCCGAGCAAGGATTAATTTCAAAAATATTGCTGTTTCGAAGTTTGGCAGCAAAAATGTCTTCCATTCGGAGTTTCCTTTGCAAAAATGGAAACTTTGTCTGGCGCCCCTGTATTTTCCATTAATTTGTGTTGCCCCTCGCGCCCCTCCTACATCCTATTTACCCGTGCCCCTCTGACCAGTAGTCAAATTTTCCATAAAACCCTGGTGTCGTTTGGGCCTCATATGTTTTCGTAGTGCCCCTACCGCAGGCTACATCAAATTTGCGTCATGCCCCTACCGGAGAGCCGTTGGGAAAATTTCCGATATGCCCGGATCGATACCATCGTTCTTTTCAGTGTGCCCCTGTCGCCGTTGGAGGCACTCAGGGGAATTTCCACCCGGCCTGGGAGCGAGCTACCGGGGCATGACAGAAATTTGTGTGTGTCCCCATGTCTGTGCCGCGCCCTTGCTTGTGTGCAACGACACCAGGACACTCTGGCTGGGTAATTTCACGCATCCTGCGGCCTCCCTGCGATGCACATTATCTTTGTGGATAGGCTCTCTCTCTCTCTCTCTCTCTCTCTCTCTCTCTCTCTCTCTCT